TAAAGCTCTTTGTGTTTGCAGGGTAAAAACATGGGTCGATTTTCGCATTGGTCTGAACTCTGAACAAAACAACAGTTTTATTGAAAATGCTCATTTATTCTCTGCCAGCAGGTGGAGCGTTTAGTAGAAATGTAACGGTTTCCCCGGTAACGGCAGAACACAAAGTAGTGCAGCACCCGACTTTGAACGTGCAGCGCTCATGTTTATTCAATGAAATCATAGCCTTTTTAAGTTTAATCATCACATTCAGCCATATCGCAATTCTGGTCTTTCCGTCCCCAAATTTAAGACCTCTTGAAATCATAATTAAGACTTTCTTGTACAATTTAAAACTTTTTAAGGCCTTAAATTTGATACAACTAAATGTAAGACCTTTTTTAAGACCCGCAGAAACCCTGGTATAGTATGACACCCAAGTTCCTCATTTGCAGCATAGATGAAACCCAGAAACTCAGAGCTGTCCCTTATGCGGAATGAACTGATCTGTATTGCTGGATCATAGTAGGGCTGCACGATAAATCGCATGCGATATTTAACACGCATCTTGTCAGTAAAGCCATTCTGTTATCAGCGGTAAATCTCAATCACGTGCGGGTTTTCACATGGAGCAGCATTAAGTACACAGAGCCGTTGTTCACCGACAAGCTGCGCAAAACATGCGCAAAATATGATTGTGGTTTTGCGCAGCTTGTCAGTGAACAACGGCTCTGTGTAGTTAATGGTGCTCCATGTGAAAGCCCGCAGGTGATGGAGATTTACCGCTGATTAAAGAACCGGCTTTACTGACAAGATGCGCGTTAAATAATCGCATGCGATTTATCGTGCAGCCCTAGATCATAGCAATACAGGGACTATGCCTACATGTGTTCCTGACTCATTAAATCACTTTCTGTGTTAATTCTAGAATGTTATATGGGAAAACAAGTAGCCTAACATTTCAAGAACTGGAATGTATTCAAGTTATATATATATATATATATATGATTTGTGTGTTCGCACTTTGTCTGACTTTTTGTATGAAACCTCTGTCTGACTGGGCCTCAGAAAAAAAAAACATGTAATTCATGCTTTTTTTTCCCATTCAAACAAGCAAGACGAATAACATGGAAAACAGTATGCGAATGAATTGTTCACCCAAAAATGAAAATCATAAAACAGCATAAAACCTTATGCTGGATATGCTGGAACCTTGATCTGTTCTGGATCATAGCCATACAGGCACTATGCCAATGCATGTTCCGGTCTCAATAAATTGATTAGCAAGCACTTTCTTTGAGAATTCTAGAACATTATGTGAGAAAACTATTAACGTTTCAAAATTGAAGTGTATTCAAGCCTTGATCCATTTTATTTGGGTAAAAATAATAAAAAGACTGCATGTTTGCGCTTGTCTGACGTTTTGTAGGAAACCTCTCTGCCACTGTGCCTCAGGAAAAAAAACAAAACATGTAATTCATGCTCTCCTGGATTTTTTGCATTCAGACAGACAAGATGAATAACACTGAAAAGAAAATGTTTTCTTGAAGGAAGTAAAAAAGAAAATGCTGTCTTTACTCACCATTGTGCAATTTCAAACCTGTATGACTGACTGACTTTCTTCAGTAGAATAAAAATCTGTTTGGCATGTCTTTTACATGAGGCTTCAAAAAGCACACATAGCATCCTAAAAGGCTAGTACTATATTAATCTTTTGAAGTCACCGGTAGCTTTGTGTGTGAAGTGTGAAAATGTAAATCATCAAACTTTTGTCACATTTATGAGAGGAGTGCAAATGTCTGATCTGTGAACAAATAATTTTTTTAGTCAAATCTTTTCAATTAATCTGTTGATCTACCGGTTCACAAAACATATAAGGGTTAGGCGTGAGGGTAGGTAAATGATGACAGAATTTTCTTATTTGGATGAACTATGTCTTTAAAATAATTCCTGATCTTCTGGGGCCAGTTGCATAAACACAGCCATTATGTTAAAGGGGTCATATGATGCGATTTCAATTTTTCCTTTCTCTTTGGAGTGTTACAAGCTCTTGGTGCATAAAGAAGATCTGTAAAGTTGCAAACACTAAAGTCTCAAAACCAAAGAGATATTCTTTATAAAAGTTAAGAGTTAACCACACCCTCAATCAGAGCACACCTCGCTTTTCAGACCGATTAGTTTTGTAAAAATCGACGCGTTTCAAAAAGGCGGGGCATAGAGGAGAAACAATAATGTACAGTATGTGGAAAATAATGTGTTTTTTGAACTTTAAACCGCATAAACACATTTCATTACACCAAATACACAAAATAATGTTCTTTTTAGCAGCATCATATGACCCCTTTAAAATGGAGTTTTAAAAACTAGCAGTTTGACCAATTAGCAGTTAGCCAAGGGATAATCATTCTTTTTCCATTCTCAAATTAGACCAATCTAAGCTTTTATGCAACAGACATCTGGGGGCTGTTTCCTAAACAAGTTTACCAAATAAGCCAGGCTTATTTCAGTTTAAGATATTTGAAAACATTTTAACATGCTGCTACATGCGCATTCAGTTGATCAGCAGTTTCTAGCCATGCAGCCTTTCTCTCTGGTTTTATGACAGCTGTACTTTATGGTTATTAGTAGAACATTAAAACATTACAACATAAAATTGCTCTTTAAAGCATCAAAATCACTCAATTAAAAATGAAAATAAATAATATAAAACAGACTATATTATATATAAGAGGAATACACTAACTCATTTGAGCTAGTAATTTGGGCTGTATTAGCTAGCTTACATTTGATTTACAGTTACTGCTATCATAAAAATACACTTATATGCAGGATTAAAATTCTACATGCGTCACATTTAATGTTCAACAACAAATATTTTAGCAGAATGCATATTTTATTCAGAATTATTGCGCTATTATTCTATTGCGTTCCATCTGTTTAGCGCATGCGCACAGCAGCGCTCGTTCACTCACGTAAGCCTCACCCACTCCTGACAGCAAAATGGATATATTTGCATGACTTTCTAACATTTACAGATGAAAAATATACCTGTGATGTGTCAGTTATGCACTGAGGAAAACGCAATGTCTCAAATGCGTTAAACGGCACAAATATTCGCCGTTTGCCATGGTGGATCGATTTGATCCATGATCGACATTAAGGGCTGCTTAAGAATAAGCGTGCACATCCAATTATCCTGACTCATTGAACCTGGATCAAATTAGTGAGATTGCGTGAACTTAAATTATCGTTTATGAAACCGCTTTAGTCCCGATTGATTTGTTAGGTTATTTCAAGTCAGGTTTTGGACTTTAATCCCCGCTTTTCTTAGCGTCTTTTATGAAACAGCCCCCTGGTCTTAAAACGGGAAACAACAGCTTCAGATGTTTGATATTCTAAGGGGCCGTTCACACAGAAAGAGTCTTTGCTTCTAAAAACGCAAGACGCAATGCTCAGGAATGATTTTTAAAAAAGCACAGTGCAGAATGCCTCCTTCTGCTATGCTGCCGAAATAAAATAAATGCCATGCCAACTTGCTACTGTAAACAAAATCTTGCAACACATGCCCCGCCTCTAGGGTCTTCTGATTGGTCCACTGTTTTGAAACTGACACTGATGAGCGGCACTGCTTGTAAAAGTTTAAATTCTTTTAACTTGACTAGGCATCTTTAAAACGTGGCACTCATGTACGAGACGCTGCAAAAAAAATGTGAGACTCGACCAAGAGCAGATCTTCTTACACGTCCATTTAGCAAATGTTTACATAAAAAAATTATGGAAAAGTAGTGCATTGGAATGGAAAAAACATTCCTGTGTGAATGGCCCCCAAGACTTTTACTTCTACGTGATTTTAGTGAGCAGATCACAAAACATTTTAGACCCCATTTACACCTGTATTAAGCACTGCCCAGTGCCCACTTAGGATCGGATCACCCAAGTCGGAACTTAAAGGGATAGTTTACCCAAAAATGAAAAGTCCGTCATCATTTACTCACCCTCAAGTTGTTCCGAACTTGTTTTGCTGAACACAGAAGATGATATTTTGAAGAATGTCACCATCTAAGTCTCTCTGTTCTACATATCATATTTATTTGCTAAACTAAATCTACTAATAAAACTTAGATAGCTGGTCAGGGCAGCACAACTATCCATAAATAAGCCATGATATCTGAGCTGTCAGGGTCACACTGATCCATGTGTCCTTTCCCTTCAAAAGGGCAGCAAGTCACTTGCATGCAGAATGATTATAGTGTCTGCAGGCAGAGAAGGGCATGAAACAACCAGTACCTTCTTCCAGAATGACAATGCAACTACAATATAAGAGAATACGCTCTAAAGCTGTTGGCCAAGAGACATACACTACCGTTCAAAAGTTCACAGTTGGTAAGATATTCACACTTAGGCTGCACTTGTTTGTTCAAAAATGCAGTAGAAACAGTAATATTGTGATATATTATTACAATTAACTTGTATTAACATTTAACTTTTTATTTTAATATACTTTAAAAAGTAATTTATTCCTTTGATGGAAAAGCTGAATTTTCAGCTTCATTACTCCAATCTTTAGTGCCACATGATCCTTCAGAAATTATTCTAATATACTGATTTGGTGCTCAAGAAACACTTTTTCTTAATATTGAAAAAATTTGAGTGGCTTATTATTTTTGTGGAAATCTTGATACTTTTTTTTCAGGATTCTTCGATAAATATTAAGTTCAAAATAACAGCATTTACTTGAAAATGAAATCTTTTGTAACAGTATAAATGTCTTAACTGTCACTTTAGATCAATTTAATGCATCCTTGCTGAATAAAATATTAATCTTCCTTCAAAAAAAATCTTACTGACCCCAAAATTTTGAATGGTACCATATATAATTCACTACTGTAAAATCATGTGGGCTACTTAAAGTTGAAGTGTGTAATTTCTTCACCACAAAACAAACTGAAAATCATTTTCAAGCAGCTTTCCCGAGTCTGCAATTGGTTGAAAAACAAATTAGTCAGAAAGGCATTGAGATTTACCTGTATTATCGTCATGGTTTGCCCAGGTGGGAATCTTGTCCAACGGCACATAGTTTCCCCGATAATCTTTGCGCCTATCCTCTAGACCAAGACTGAGTAAGCGCTCTGTGAAAAAGATGAAACAATACTGTCATAGTATACAGACAGACAAGAGCATGTCTTGTGAAGCAAAGCTAATCAGTTTGAATCAGAGGGGTTCATAAAGGAACATCTGCGACTAGCTCTATGCATCATGTCAGAGTGGAAGTCTTTGGTGTGGTAATTGTGGCAGCCATGTAAGTGTGTGTGAGAAAGAAGTGACAAGCTAATGAGGGTACACTGTTCAGCATACAGCTGCAGGCCTGACATGGAAGCAGACTGTGTGTGTGATCTGTTCTATCTAATGTACATGGACAATATAATTCAATAATTTTCTAATATTTATGTGGCCAAAATTTGAGAACTTGCATTCAAATAAAGGCATGTTTCATTGACTAGTTTAGACTAAAGTTTACACAGTTGGTTTCTCATTACAATCTATATCCTCCTTTCTCTTTTCATTCTCTATTCACAGCTTGACAACTTTCTTCCTTAGGTTTTAGTTTCACTTTTGTTTCTACCATTAATGCAACCTTTGTTGGCACTAAATGACATAAAACTCCTTACAAAGGTTTCATGGAAGAGATGGTTAAAAAAAAAAAAACTTCCTATAATTCTGTATTTCGAAGAAAAAACATTAAATTAAGTTAACTTTGAGAAAAGGTTTTATTTTTGTTTCTTGCTTTTATCATAATCCAACAATTCTAGAAAACTGTTTAACATTGTATTTTCACTTGTCTACATTGAACAACATTGGTGCTGACTAAACACGAAAATAAAATCAGAAATACACAAAACAGAGAAATTAGTAACTCAAATGAAACATTTGGTATTTCTAGAAATCGGTCCAGTAAAGTAAAGTGTAATGGGTTCACTAGTTATTATGTGGTAAAATAAGAAGTTAAAATAAAATAAAATGTAACAAGCTCTAAGAAGCTCCAAAAAGGTTTTTTTCTACTCCAGGCAAAATAAGACTTAAAATTCTTGATAGAAACCAGCTCCAAAGTGCCCCTGCCGACACTACTGATTTTTCATGCTTACTGCCCCTACATCTGCCTTTTCAACCATCTTTATTAATTTATTTTTTCCGTTTTTATCCTCCTGCACTCCCTATTGCTACACGAATGAAGATCTGTTTCACAAAGGCTGCTTTATGAGTGCAATGTGTACTTGCAATTTTAAAATAGCACAAACGCCAACAAAGCTGATTCATTTCATCAAGTCACCATCAAAAGATATTATAACGCAAGTATCTGATGTTTGTTCACTGCAATGCACTGTATTACTCTAGACAACAGCTCTCATCATATATGTGCGTTTGAGTTACGATAGCGGACCATTAATGTGTATCGAGTAGCATCACTGTCAACCTAATGATTTACAGTCCTGCAACTTCATAGAATGTGTCATAATAACCATACTTCACTGGAGGCCAAATTTTCAACAATCAATAACTGTGTTGTCGTGAACTTCAGGTCACACTAAGTGATGATGTCAAGAACAGGTGGCAGTGCTTGTGCACTTCAAATTATTAAAAATAATCTTATTCTAATGAAAAAGTGTCTTTGTTGTAACACAAAATCATTAAGGTTCTCAGGTCAAAACAAGCTAAATTATGATTATATCAAACAGGCTTGGACAGTGCAGAACTTCCAAACACACTATCAAAGTTGCATTATACCATCCTGTTCCCTGAAAGCACATTTCCAGGAAAGTTTAGCTCCAACTCTGATCAAACACACCTGATTCAACTCATTTTTGAGTAGTATGCTTACAGTTTTAGACAATAGGTCTAGAACTAAACTACTTATGAAGGTGGATATCCAGGACCAGGATCTAGCAAAAGTGCATGCATGCATGACATTCGTTTCATTAAATGTTTAATTAACAGAACTTTTAATTTGTAATTTAGCTGATGCATTTATACATACTGACTTACATGGAGTCAGACAGGGTTTGTCGTCTTGATCAAGGGTACAATGGTCATAGTTCATGGAAAGCACCACGTTGGGGTTGTTATGTTATCATACGGCGTTTCACTAAATGCGCCAATCAAACATGTGCATGTTCCAATTAATTTATAAAAGATTAAACACTAATTAATGCATTTTTATTTGCATTTAAACAGATTTTAACGCTGGACACATAAGGGCCTTGATCACAGCATCATGCACTGATGCTCCACCTGCATCTGAAGGTGTACATCTGTCCATGCTGTTGATTCAAGAGGCAGAGCGTCTATAAGACGACATTTCTCCCGCCACGTGCGTGCCGTGACCCCAGGTTCAAGCCGGTGGATGTCAAACCCCAGACTGACGCTAGAGTTATGAATCCTGTCTTTAAACGAAAGAGACACGACGAGAGTCCAAACGACCCTTACCTTTCTCCGCTCTCCACTCCTTTTTCTTTTTGCTCATGGTGCCGTGGTGTGAGGGCTTCTGGTAATTGGTTTTTGAGTTAAGCAACCCCAGGCTCACAGCGAAATGCGCGCTGAAACTGAAGAGAAAGTGAAAGAGCTCCTGTAGCGTGACGCCTCACCTGAGAAACTGTCAAATTGTAGTTGGTGGGGAGACTGTGCGGTGATGCAACCTACCTTAACGCTAGCAGTGGTGGCTGCGTGGAAAATGGCGCGCGGCGATTGGTCGGCTCGTACGCGGAAGTGGAGTTGCGATTGGATGGTTTCATGCGGCAGTCCGATAAAACGCGCATTCGCTTGACGTGCGCTAGGTTGAGCGTCAAAGCGTTGTAGGGTTGGTAGGGTAGCAACCGCGGTGAGCGAGTGAAAGAGCTTCGGCAGACTGGAGCGCCGTGCGTGGTAGCGGAATGCGGGGATGGAGCACATATTTGGTACAGCTGTTTAGTGATGTGCAACTTTATCGATACACTTTTGCCGCAGAATAGACTTTGCTTTGACAATCTGTATTGTATAAAGGGCTATATATAAATAAAGGTGATTTGACTTGACAAAGGGTCAAAAGTTCTTGCGTCTACTGAAGCATAAGATAAAACATTCTTGTGGATCTAACTATATATTATTATTCAGCCATATTTACACTATGTAATAATGTAAAAAATAGATGTGGTGATATTGGTTATTTACTAAATCAGCCTTTTGTAGCAACAGGTTTGCTGTATATGTATACAAATGTCTATGAGGACGTGTTTCAAGATAGATTGTATGCAATGAGACACATTGAACTCTTTGCAAAAAGGAGCTCCATGACTTGATATATATTGAATATATTACTTTAAGGTATTGATTAACTATAATGTGCATAATTGGGCGTTTAATCATTTTATACCTATTAATGAGTGATTAAAATAGAAACTGTGAGGATTTGCCTTGAGAAAATGTGGGCATGTTAAAATCTTATTTTGACGTTCTTAGCATTATCACCTTGTTCAAAAAATACTTTCTTTCATATTATCAGTACATATTTAATTAAGAAAAAAAAGTTTATTTGACAAAACATTATTTAAAAGTCTGTGAAGTCTAAAAATTCCCACAATTTAATGCATGACAGAATCTCTGCAGATTAGACTAGAGCACAGAATGCACGAAGGCCTCCATTATTGTTAAATTTCAATCAATCAGGTGTTGTGCCGAAATTTGCACCCTGCCAGATTATGCACCCCCTAGTATTGGTAGGTTTAGGAGTAGGTGTGGGGGAGGAGTTAGGATTAGGGGAGGGGTTGGGATTAGGCAATCAAGTAGCGATTTAATTGAGGAGGTGCATAATCTGGCAGGGGTGCAGAATTCGGCACAACACCGGCGACAACCTAATAACATTTCGGCAGGAATGGCCAAGAACCTAACAGGATTAGGCTGTATAAAAAAAGTCAACCTGCAGAGGGCGTCATTCGCCGCTTTGCTTTGGGGGAGGGGTTAGGATTAGGGGAGGGTTTGGGATTAGGCAATCAAGTAGCGATTTAATTGAGGAGGTGCATAATCTGGCAGGGGTGCAGAATTCGGCACAACACCGGCGACAACCTAATAACATTTCGGCAGGAATGGCCAAGAACCTAACAGGATTAGGCTGTATAAAAAAAGTCAACCTGCAGAGGGCGTCATTCGCCGCTTTGCTTTAAATCCGAAGAGAAAAATAATCTAATAAACAGACAGGAAAAATTGCCTGGCTATTAAAAATAAATAAATATGTATATAAATAAATCTCATGCTACCCAAAGATTTCTTTATTTAAAAAAAAAAAACGTGAAATAAAAATGCAAGAGATGGACTCTTATTAGATTTTCCATGATTTCCGGTTCCCGTGTTTCCCATGATGCCGTGCCCGGTGGGCAAATTCAAACAGTAGAAAATGGAAGAGGGATCGAAGAGGAGAGAGTTTGAGCGTGCAAACATGACTGTCATCAAACATAGCAAAACCAACCTTGTTTCTAACAACAGCTACAATAACACAATTATTCACACCGATCAGTGTATACCTCACGAAGAAGAATCAAAGGTTTCATCTGATGGAGAAAAGGAAAGGAACATTTTGTGCCAGGTCGATGATGATCCTGAATCCTCCGCTAAAGCTAAGGTGGGAAATTTGTACCTGTTGGACAACATTGGTGAGATTGAGAGAGACAGGGAGCTTTTAAACCCATCAGAGAACAAAGAAAATAGAAACAGCCCCACACACGCAAGAACAGAACATAGAGGTGACGATCATGATGGTAAGTATTGGCAAATGGTTAGGTTTCCTATCTATGCTTCTCAGTTGTTAAATAATAAGTTAATCACAAATGAGAAGTCTAAAGAATAACAAGAATATAAACTTGTGGTATATATATATATACACACACACAGTCACGATCGAGTGACAAATTGCATTTTAATGGTTTTGCTTTACTTTCTTTAAACAATTATAAGTAAAATATCTGCTAAATGTCGGCTTCTGGAAATTGATGTACTGAAAGTACATGATTTTAATCATCTTAAAGTTAAAGCAGTATCTTTTTATGTGTTCAAAGTTTGCTAAATGTATATAATGAGCGAGTACAACATGAATTCATCTTATATCAAGTCATCTGAAGTCTTTGTAACAACCCACAACACTTGCCATACAGCAGAATCTGCACTTAAAGCAGCACTATGTAACTTTTTCTGTGTTCAAAATTTGCAAAATGTATATAATGAGTACATCATGAATTCATCTTCCAAACCGCGTTTTTGTCTTATTCCGAATCACTCCGGTACACTTATAATAAGTACTTATATTTGGACTATTGTAGCCTGGTCGGGTCGTCACCGCTGCGGAGTAACACTTACCTGCGTGAATCGCCATAGACATAAACTTAGAGAAGTAGCTCCGGTTGGAATGTTCTTCCGCGGGATGTGTGCAGTTCTGTTTATTAACCGCTAGAGCGCCAAAAGTTACATAGTGCTGCTTTAATAAATTGTGTTTTAAGCTGTTCGAGTCTCTCAATTATATATTTTAATGAAAATAATGCAATTTAACACTTCACTTTACATTTGGTGCTATATCTTTGTATAGTTTACTTTTACTTGCATTCCATTCACTTACAAAATATATCTGGTTGAAATGGCACAAACTGATGATTGAAGCATGTATATTGTAATGTGCGGTGAAACTAATTTTCTTTTTAGCAGGCAGATGTTAGCTTTTGAAACTTACAGTACAGATTAAAAAGTATATCTTTTTATAGTTTGTATGCCCAAAGCATCAGGCAAAAAATATTATTGTACAGAACTTATTTATATAACATCTTTATATAACCGTAAATAATTTCTGATCTGGACGACAAAATAGTGTCACATCATTGTTCTCTTTGACGTTTGCCACTTTAGTCTGTGCCTCGGAAAATCTCTGAAATGTTGATTCCATTGTTTTTATTTCAAGGTTGCCAGCAGATGGATGCTTTGGCCAGTTCTTCTGGAATTCAGAGGGATTGTGAATCTAGTGGAGTGTCTGCAAACCACGTTGATGATGAGGAAATATTCAGGAGAGCAAGAGAAGAAGGACGAGTGAATGTTGTCTTTCCCGGCCGTATCACCCAGGATGGTTGCTGTAGATTTGTCTGTGAGCTTCTGAAGTGTGTTCTTTACCAGCGGCAGCAGATGCCCATGACATATGACCAAATGGTGTTCCTCCAGAAACAGCAGCATAATGCCACTCAAGTATTACAGAAGACCTCATTTGATTAGATATACCTTAATTCATAAATCTAATAAAGTTTGACTTAATTGTGCTACCTTTCTCACAGACAGAGGACACGATAATTCGACGGTCTGGAAAGACATCTGAGGGCTTGGATTGGCGTCGGTGTCAGCGTACGTTGCAGGAGCTTGATGAAGTGCTGGCCCACCTTGAGGCACTGTTCTCTCTTAGCCAAGTTCGTCGTGTGCTTTTCATGCTGGGTGGGTCTACCATTTTTCCCACCGAGCTGTATGAGGTGAACATGGAAGCGGTGGCTGTAGGGGCCGGGGAAAACAGCTTAAGGACCTCAACCAGTCTGAGACAGATTTTCCGCACGTTGTTTGTGGCTGACCTGTTGTCAGATGCCAAATCTGTGCGCCTCATGACTACTACGGTCATGGCACTGGGTCACCGGGATTGTGGCGTGACTGGGTTTAAGCCCAAAATGGATTTTAAAGTTCCCACAAAAGTGAAAAGGCAAGTCATCTCTATAGCCAGTGATTTGTCTCTCACCGGGGAGTTACAAAAAAGTAAAAGAGATCTGGAGGACTATATATGGTTTCAAGCCCCTGTCACAGTGAAAGGTTTCTGTAAATGATAAGGGAATAAAGAGTAGCAGATTTCAGGGAATGCTGAAATACAATTCACTCCATTCTCAGGGATCACTGCTGTATGACTGACCAAAAAGTATATGGGCTATTGTTTTTTTATTATTATTTTTATTCAGGAATTCTGTGTGAATTTACATTTTTTAAAACCTCAGATTATTTATGCCATGTTTTCATTGTCATCAGCTAATCCATATATTTTACATGATTAATTTTACAGAATACAGTGATGGTTTTCTAATGTTTAACAATCTTGGCTGCTACTCACTCCAATACCATTTGTACCAATTTGTAAGTCAGTATGAATTAAAACCAACTGCTAGATGGCAGCTTCTGGAAACTGATGCATGTACATGATTTGAATTTACTTAAAAATAATGAATGATGTGTTTTAGGCTCTTTAAGTCTGTCAGTATATATTTTCATGAAAAGAATGCATTTTAACTTCCATTTGGTGCTGTATCTTTGTACTGTTTGTTTTTATTTGCATTTCCATTCATTTACAAAAGAACATTCATCTTGGGCACAGGGTTCATTAAATCTGGTTGAAATGGTGCAAACTGATGATTGTAGCATGTATACTGTAAAGTTTCTTTTTAGCAGGCAGATGTTAGCTTTTCATTTTCAAAAATGTTTACTGATTTGAACAGTACAGGAGTTTTTATGCTCATCGTCATGCTAAAATATTTACAAAATTATATTGTACAGAACTTCTTTATATAACTTCATTTGGTTCATTTAAAAACCACAACATTCCTAAATGTTGAACCTTGCATTTACAAATGAATTAACTTCAGATTGTTAAATGCACTAATGACA